TTACCCTTCAGGCTCAGGCTTTTCCCCCAGGAAGCCTGGTCTACTCCCAACCCCACCCCATCCCTACGTGTGCTCCATACCGCCTCTTCTGTACCCTCATGGTAACATGCAGTCTGACATGTGTAACATGAAGTCTGACCATGAGCTGTCGGACTTTCCCCTGCACTTAACGTATATTTGCTAACTTTTTAAATTTGAAGCACAGAATAGCTATTTCACAAGATTTGGTCAAAGGGAGGATGTGTGGGTTTTACTACATGTCATAGATGAGGAAAATGGAGACCCTGAGAAGCACTAACCTGTCAGGCCCATGATATCAGATGGGGCTCAGGGGCCAATGACTACTGATACAGATACATGGCCCTTCCTAGGAAATTAAATCCAAAAGCAACATATCACCATGATGAAAGATATAAATCTAAACAAAATATTCTAAAAGCCTATGACCTCATTTATTATAATGAATATCTTAACCCCCTTAAGTCACTGACTCTTCTTTCACTTAAAAATAAATTATATTCCTATACATCAGTATTGAATCAACTAAAGGAAAAATTAGGAAAACTATACCATTCACAATAGCCTCAAAAAAAAAAAAATTGGGAATCCAACAACAGAGGTGAAAGACCTCTACAATGAAAACTACAGAAAGAAACTGAAGACCTTAAAAGATCTCCCATAGGCAGAATTATTATTGTCAAAATGGACATACTACCAAGGGCCCTACACAGATTCAATGCAGTTCCTATTAAAATTCCAATGACATTTTTCATATAAATAGAAAAGGCAGTCATGAAATTCATTTGGAAAAATAAGAGGCCCAGACTAGCAAAAGTAATCCTCTGTGAGAAAAGCAAAGCAGAAGGCATCACAATACGAGAAGTTAAATTATACTACAGAGCTAGCATAACAAAAACAGCATGGTACTGCACTGAAATGGTACAGAAGAGAAACCCATATAAATACAGTTATCTCACACTAGACAAAGGCACCATAAACATACCTTAGAGAAAAGATAGCCTCTTCAACAAATGGTGCTGGGAAAACTAGAAATCCATATGCAACAAAATGAAATTAGAGCCCTATCACTCACCCAAATCAAAGTGGACCAGAGACCCTGTGCCTACTCAAAGAATAAGTAGGCCCAACTCTCTATCATGTTGGCTTTGGAACTGA